CCAGTGTGAGCTGGACCAAAAGTTCCTTAGCACTTATTGGGCTATATCAAGCTAGCTAACTTGCTAGCTAAATAGTATTTACTACTTACTGATGAGATGACATGTACCGGCTCAGCAGCTCTCATTTTACAGTCTGACAGCAGCAGGAAAGAAAGACCTGAGAAAGCTCTCCTTCACACAAAAAGGTTGGATCAGTCTGTCCCTGAAGCTGCTCTCCACAGCAGACAAAGTTCTCTACGGGGAGCAGTTATGGTCCAGCATGAAGAATTCAACACTCTACACTTTGTCTACATGTTACCAAACTTTTTCATGATGTGATTATACATTTGTTGTGAGAAAACTGACAAGAAATAAAAGAAAAGTTTCTGAATGCCCTGTATTGATGCGGTCGTGTCCTGGGCTCCACAGGTCCCCTCGCACTGACAGCTGTGGTGATAAGCTGTCCCGCCTCTCCCCATGCATCAGCGTGTGACAGGCGTGATTAGACCCTCGTTACGGCCGTTCTCATACTCATTCATTTGCAGTGGCTGGAGCTGGAAAAATGGCCCGTCTGCGCTCATCTGAGTAAAGATTACGATTTCAGAAGTAAGTTAGTAACTGATTACAGCCTTCTCTGATTGTGGTTTGCATCAGAGAGCAATGCTGGGTTCTCTCAGCCTGGGAGCTGGAGGTAGAGTGGTCCCCAGAGCGCTGTTCAAACTACTGTCACTTTGCTGTTTGAGATGAGAGCCGTAAATCCAGAGCCTCAGGCTTTGAAGCATCTATCGCAACAACGTGCAACAGGCAATTCAGCTGTGCACTACAAATGTTTAAATGTGGCTTTGTCCCTAATTTCAGTGGTTTTGGATAATTCTATTTAGCTTACTTTAATTATACGAACCTGCTTTATTTGTCTACAAATGAGTGAAATAGTTAGTGATGGTATTCTCAGCCACATATATCTATTCTTCCTTAGAGCAGGACTAATGTAAGAGGACTTGAGGAGAGAGACCCAAGACCAGGACTAGTGTATACTGCAGCCTTGTGAGCGGGCCGTTACTGTAGTCTAAACAACTGGAGACAAATGCAGAATAAAAACCATACAAACTTTTCCCAATACTTTTTTTCCCGTCTCTTCCCATTTTAAAGTGCTTGTTTTATAATCTTTCTTCTGTCGTTTCCCTCACAGTCATTATCTAGCCTGGGCTGTCTCTCTAATTATCCTCGGTATCAGATGAGCTCTGTGTGCCCAATTACTGAGCTCCGAGACTTGTCTTTCTCCTGCAGCTCGACGCTAATGGTTTTGAGCAGCTTTTCAGTTCCCTTCTCCTCGTCTGCACTGCGAGAACAATCTCAGGATGAGTTCAAATCATGGCATTTGCAAACAGTCACGGAAATATCGAACAATGAACAATGAAAAATCGGCTCTGCATATTCATTCTTTGACAACATCTCAGTATTGGTTTGGCTCTTAATTAAAAACATATCATTATAATATTCTTAACAATTAACCTAAATCATGATTAATAATATTTGGTTTCTTACATTTGGTATAGTTTTGGTTCAGTCCAAAATTGTACTTTTGTTCAGCTCAATTTAAACTTTATTTTAACTTTGTTATTTGGTCAAAAGTGCAAAAAATTAGTTATAAACAAGGTACATAGGGCAAAAAAGGTATTTGAAAGAAGCTGTATATATTTTAGCCATAAAGCATATATTAGTAGTGGACTGATAGTGTGACATCACCAGAAGCCAACTTGAACATAAGCTAGCTGGAGCCCATTTCCTTATATGGGCATCTGTTCTGACTGTGTTAGCTTGGTTTCGTAATAGGCACGGATGAAGGCATCTGATTGGTCGATCGTTGTGGCTCAGAACTGGATTAACAAAGACAATATTAAGCTAAAAGCACCAAAATCAAACATTTGGCCAAAATGGGGACTGTGATACAAAGTTTAATTTTTCTTCATTGAGCTTGCAGATTAACAAGGATTTAGCAGGTTAGTATCTATATACAGCTATGGTTTTTGATGACATTTGGCACATTTGTCTTATTTCAAGCACGATATGCATTTTTAAATTTTAGATGAATTAGATGCATTGTGTTGTAAAGAAGATTTGGATCATTTTCAATTCAAGTTATACTCTTATAGCCCCATTTCACAACAGCAGTCGTCTCAATTCCTCAACAACAGATCTGAGAATTGAACAGTTTGAACATAGGAAATAACAAACAGATAGGAGCCATCGGTCCAGAGGGAGCGGATATGTTAATAAATATCTATAAATGTTGCAAATAAAGAGATCAAACACTTCCTGCCCAAACAATTTACTCACTTATGGATCTTAAAGGTATATAGGAGGATGTTCTACTTCCGGGTGGATCATCAAGACTATTGGTCCTCCTAATTGTCAGTCATTGTTGTGATACATGCTCGTCAAATATGACTAGAGAGTTTTTTTAAAAAGTGGAGCGGTCGGTTTTTTCCTAAAATTTGGGAAAATCCTCCTATTTACTACAATACACAATGCTCTGCAAGAAGGAAAAAAAAAATTCTTTCTAGACGTTGTCCAGTGGAAGGAACAATGTGGTAAAGGAGACTCTTATATCATGTTTCCGCAGTAGTGTGAGTTGTTCTTTTGAGTTAAAGACTGGATGTACAGTGTAATGTCAGGTCAAACTTAGCCAGAGGAATGCCACTTACGCCTTTAGATCCCTCGCCCTCGATAAGAGCTACTGTTTATTTATTTATCGCAGTCTCCGGAGCTGCACTCGGCAACAGTTCCTCCGTCTGAACATCTGTGGCACGTTCGCTTCTTTCCACTTGAGTTACAGCCATGGCCACTTGCACTGTGGGGACGGGAAAATACACGATGAAAGACGGTGTCACATGGTTCTCTCGTACATGTGTGGATGCGACTATGTTATGACTAACTGATGGTGTAGATCCAGGACTGAAGCTGTAGATCCAGGACTGAGGCTGTAGATCCAGGACTGAGGCTGTAGATCCAGGACTGAGGCTGCAGAACCAGGACTGAGGCTGTAGAACCAGGACTGAGGCTGCAGAACCAGGACTGAGGCTGTAGAACCAGGACTGAGGCTGTAGAACCAGGACTGAGGCTGTAGAACCAGGACTGAGGCTGTAGAACCAAGACTGAGGCTGTAGATCCTGGACTGAGGCTGTAGATCCTGGACTGAGGCTGCAGATCCTGGACTGAGGCTGCAGATCCTGGACTGAGGCTGCAGATCCTGAACTGAGGCTGTAGATCCAGGACAAAGGTTGTAGTTCCAGGACTGAGGCTGTAGATCTCCAGGACTGAGGCTGTAGATCTCCACGACTGAGGCTAGTCCAGGACTGAGGCTGTAGATCCAGGACTGAGGCTGTAGATCCTGGACTGAGGCTGTAGATCCAGGACTGAGGCTGTAGATCCTGGACTGAGGCTGTAGATCCAGGACTGAGGCTGTAGATCCAGGACAAAGGTTGTAGTTCCAGGACTGAGGCTGTAGATCTCCAGGACTGAGGCTGTAGATCTCTAGGACTGAGGCTGTAGATCTCTAGGACTGAGGCTGTAGATCTCTAGGACTGAGGTTGTAGACCCAGGACTGAGGTTATGTTAATAAATGTCCCAGGACTGAGGCTGTAGATCCAGGACTGAGGCTGTAGATCCAGGACTGAAGCTGTAGAAATTTCAGATGTTACAAAGGTCTTTCTGCATATTTCTACTTGACATCTATACCTGCATTTTCTATTCACATATCAGGACATTCGCATTTGAAATAAAATAATCCTAAGTAATACTTTACATAGAGAATGTCTGTGTGGATCAAGTTCCGAAATCGGTTCTTGTGTGCCTAATGTGTGCTGCAACCTTTTTAAGTAAATTATATTTGATTTAGTTTGTGTAAGCCCTCAGTCGTACAGGGATTAGTCAAAGCAAAGGAAGGTTTCTCACCCATCATCTGTACTTCTTAGCAAGTTTTCCCGACGTTTCGTCCTCAAACTGCGGACTTCTTCAGGGAATGAATTCTCGGACCGCGCGTTGGAGATTTATAACCTATGGGTGTGGTAAGCCACACCCTAATCCTGATGCTAACTCATAAACAATCAAAGGTCTGATGTAGAAGGGAGCAGATCTAACGACCCTGCTGAGGCTAACGACCCTAACTCCTTAGCATGTCACAGACCTATTGTCTGCTGGGATCATCAAGTGGAGTGCAGGTCTCACCCCTCCTAACTCATTAGCATGTCACTGACCTTGTCCCAAGTTAGGGCGTTGTTTTTAGGATGTTGTCATAGATGCGAGGCAAAACAAATCTTAACCCTCCTCCTCTGTTAAGAGAAGGTTTTTGTTTCCTCACAAAAATGGCTTCTTTCACCCCTCTCTCAAACCAATTCTTCTCCCGAGCCAGAATTTTAACCTCTGTGTCATCCACCGTGTGGTTGGAGGCCTTGAGGTGGAGATGAACAGCCGACTGTGGCCCACTAGAGTTTTCTCTACGATGTTGGTAAAGTCGTTTCTGTAGAGTTTGTTTGGTTTCTCCAATATAGTGGTCAGTGCACTCCTCTTCACTACATTTAATTGAATACACCACATTGCTCTGTTTGTGTCTGGGTGTTTTGTCATATATATGTCATATATTTGTTATATTTGATTTAGTCAATTTTACCCCTCTTGTGTGCTCCTTGGCCTTCATCGTGCTATTTAGTGACCACTACACGCCAGCTAGTGTTGGGGCAATAACAAATTAATAACATCTTTAGAATTTTTGCTTTACGGCACCGTATAGATAATCATTTTGTTTCCTCAATCACCCTGTTGAATCAGAATTTGAAATGTCTCCACCGTGGATGAGGCTTATTTTATCTAAGACTTGTTCGAATGGATTATTTAGATGTTCAGAATAAATAATCCACGTTCTGCCGCGTGTCTCTCTCTGCACAGATGTTTCAGATGTTCACACCTGTGTTTCTGACATGTACATTTGAAAGCGCTCACCGAGTCTCCGTTCCTCTTCACAGATGGAGTCTCCGGTCTCCACGCCGGCTCCGCCCCCTCTGCACCTCCTGTCCGCGGGCTCTGAGATCTCGTCCACGTGCGAGCAGATCATGGTGCGCTCGCGGTCGGTGGCGGTGAACACCTCGGACGTGGCTCTGTCCACGGAGCCCGAGTGTCTGGGCCCCTGCGAACCCGGCACCAGCGTCAACCTGGAGGGAATCGTGTGGCAGGAGACCGAGGATGGTGAGTACTCGCTGAGGATTTTGATTCGTGAAGCTGCTTTCTATCACCTTGCAAGCTCGAGTACTTAACTTTAAAACCACAAAGACTGATCTATGTGGTGAAATCCAACTGTTGTGATTGCTTGTATTATATGCTGCTACTTTTTTCAAGTTATTTTAACCTGTTGTATAGCGTGTTGGCTAATGGCTAACGGTTTGGTTTCAACTTTGGTGGGGACATATACTGGAGCCTGAAGCTACACCCATTGACGGGTGGTCCAGGGGGTTTTACATGTTTTGTGATCATGAACCATAGTTGCAGTAGTTTGTTGCCTTTTATACTGAATGAATGAATCAATATTTATTTATTGTTGTGTCTAGGATACAACTGTATACCCAGCCCTTTAATGAATATAAAACAGCTGCAGTACATTCTAAATGCAGCTTCTCGAGTCCTGATTAGAACCAGGAAGTACGACCACATTAGTCCGGTCCTCAGGTCTCTGCACTGGCTTCCTGTGGCTCAGAGAATAGACTTTAAAACAGCTCTGCTTGTGTACAAGTCTCTCCATGGCCTCGCACCAAAATATATTAGTGACATGTTAGTCCCATATGAACCGGCCCGGACTCTGAGGAGCACAGGGACTGGACTCCTGTTAGTGCCCAGAGTCAGAACTAAACATGGGGAGGCTGCTTTTCAGATTCATGCTGCTAAAATCTGGAACAGTCTTCCTGAAGATGTGAGACAGGCCTCCTCTCTGAAAATGTTTAAAACCAGGTTAAAGACAGTTCTGTTTAGCTGTGCATACAACTGAGGGATTTTATATTTTTATTTTTAATGTACTGTGATTATTTATGATTTTAACGCTATCTCGTTTTGTTCAGCACTTTGAGTTGCCTTGTGTATGAATTTTGCAATACAAATAAACTTGCCTTGCCTTGCCTTTCATGGGCTTATAAGGCACCAATATAAAGTACAGGATCAGATGACTGACAGGGCACAATATATAACTAATCTCAGCTGTTTAGAATGAAAAGCAGTTAGTAATATATTCATTAACTAAACAAGAAGAAGATGATGAATACTGTCCTTTCAGTTTGATGAATACACAAATACATTTACACATCAAGGCATGCAGGGTACATTTACTTCCGCGCTCCTTAAGGGCAAAGTGGAGTAAAGTGTCTTGCCCAAGGACACAACAACAGCAGACATCAGTGGGAGTGTGTAGAGATGGTCTCGTGGGGGGCTCGAACCCACGCCCTTCAGGCTCAAAAGCCCAATGCTCTACAAACTGAGCCACTGTCTTCCCAGTTCCCATAGTATGATCTATGGAAAACCCTGTTCACAAACACAGCATTGCTTTTCCAGTTTAAATAAACCGAGCTTCGCCTGAATGCATCGTCTGTCGTTCTCCGTCAAAACAACAGCGGCCGCTCTCGACTTCTGTCACTCACGCAGCACCCACCGGCACCAGGCACGTGCTGAACACAACCAGATAGAAACAAACAAAATGGAGCTGTTTGTCATCTCGCGTAGTATGCAAATGATAAGGCAAGTTTATCTGTGTAGCACAATTCATACACAAGGCAACTCAAAGTGCTGAGCAAAGCAAGATAGTGTTCAAATCATAATGCGTTACAGTACCTTTAAAAAGAATAAAATCCCTGACGGAACTGTTTTTAACCTGGATTTAAACATTGTCAGAGAGGAGGCCTGTCTCACATTTTCAGGAAGATAGTTAGATTTTAGCAGCATGAATCTGAAATACTGCCTCCACATGTTTTGACTGGTAACATATAGTGGTCAACTTGTTTATAGAATTTTACTTTTAGACTATTTCTCTTTGGACAAACAACATTCATTTTGAAGAATAATCCTGAAAACTGCACATTGTAATTAAGGATGAGTTGCTGATTATGAACGAACTTCTGAATACGATGTAATTTGTGGAAATGCTTCTGTTTAACTAACCTGGCAAGAGCCAGATTGATGATTGTGTAGAACTCTAACGCGTTCTCCGCGATATCAATCTGGGATTTCTCACGGAGAATCCTTTCGGGGAAAGGAGGGATAAGCAGCAGAATACTTGAAGCTGATTGGGCGAAGTGACGCTGTGTGCCCGCCTACCAAGGTTTGACTTACGTAGGTAAAAATGCACAAACATCTTTGCCGTCCAGAAATGCACAAAGCGCCTCTCGCTGTTCATCTTTCAAAAAAGAAATTGGAGATTCTGCTAAAACTGACTTGATAGCCTCAGCTACGCGTCCGTCCTCCTGCGTAGCCATGTTTGTTTTGCTTCGGCCCGGCACTTCTTGCTTTCGTCAAACCCGGATATCCCGCCCTAAACCCCCAGACTGGCGCGTGATTGGCTCGCACACCCAGTGGTTCGACTCGAAAAGTGTAAGCGGGAGCGGTACAAGATGTATTCTCGAGTGTTTGTGAACTCACAAATACCGCGAGAATTCAGCTTGCAGGCAAGGTTACTGTTTAACTGCTTGAGCTTTTAATCCATCGAAGTGTGTGCGTTTTCCAGAAGCGTTTCTTGTAATTAACCAACTGGGATGTCCCCCTAGTGAACCTCGTCTTAGAATTTGCACTTCTCTATGCTACTTTCTACATTTCCAAAACACAAATCAAACCGTAAAAAGCTGTTTTGAAAATGATTTATGCATTGTTTGGTTGGAGCGACGGCTGTGGCTCGGTTTGAAGGCATGAGAAAAGATAAGTTTGGCTGTTTCATAGGAAATCAAAAGTCTGTAAACATCCCAAACACGGACGTCCTTCGGCAAAACCTCCGAAATGGCCGTGTTTTGGTGGTGTTTTCCAAAGCCTGTTCAAATGCTACACAGAGGACCCTGCTCTGGACTGCTCTGGGTTTAGTTTTAATGTTTGTCTTTAGTCTAGAATGGGTTTTAGTTTCCTTCCAAAAAAGTGCTTGACTAATAATGTTGTCCCACGGTGGGGAAATGTCAGTGTCTTCCTTTGCAGATTACAGCAGAGAAAGGAGGAAACAAGAGCACTCAGATTGCACACACCAGTCTATTATTTAAGATTATTGAATTAAAACAAGTTACTAAGATGGCAAAAAAAAACTATATAATTGCTCTTGGTTCAGAAATGGTTGCATTCAGAAGTTCTGAGCACAGTGAATGAAACAAATCAGGAGTAAAGTTTTATGACTTGATTCTGTAATGATAAATATTCTGTGTTATAATATACAGAATTGGTGTTGCTGAAGCTAAACTCGCCCAAATTGGCACACATTTTGAAATATGATCACTCAGCAGCACTAGAAAAGTACCAGGTCTAGTAGGGCTATAGTCACTGCTCACCTCTTCCATCAACTTGCACCGTATCTTATCAACCTACCCACAACAAAGCAGCACTTTGCCAAATTCCTTTGCAACCATGGCTTCCAGTTGCTCTCTGGCCAATCAAACAGTTAGAACTCTTTAGCACCAGCTCGGCCTGGGTAGAACCACTGCCAAGAGGGACTGAAGCTACACTCACACCGCCGACACTTGACTGGACACACGGCTGAAATTCACAACATTTCAGCTGTTTGAGTTTAGAAAATATGAAGTCCTGCCGCCCTACAATGAGGTAAAACGCAAGGCGGAAGTAGCGGGCGTGCTTTGATGGTAACGGTGTTACGCTATTAGCTTTTTGTGTAAAGTTCTTCTCCAAGAATGCAGTTCTGCAGCGTCTCTGTGTCCGAGACCTTCCAGAGACTTTATAAAACAGCAGTATGTGTTCACAGAGGTGCGCCATAAATGTATTTTATTATTAAACAGTACTTCCGAATTGGCGAACACGCTATAGCTGCATTTGTTTTCAGTCACTGGAGAATGAGAAATCAAGCTGGAAGTATTCCCCCCCATTGTCAGTTCTGGTTTAGTCCTGGTTTAATCCTGTTTTAGTCCTGGTTTAGCTGTTTACGAGTATCTTCCTCTTCTGCCTCTGACCACTTGTGTCCCCTTGACCACTTTGCAGCTCTCTTTACGTTTCCCGTACATGTGGCCGGCAGAAAAAATTAAACAATCTCAATATCCTGCTTTCGCCGCATGTATCGAGTCCGCGTAGCCACCGCCTATACCACAACGCTCTTTTCTTGCTGAACGTAACGTAGGACTAAACTGGGCCAGTGGAAACGCTCCCAATCAGTGTAGAGCTGAGCCGAGCAGAGTACAGTGGGAGGGGTGGAAACGGGGATATAGTCATTGCTCTCCTCTTCTATCCCCTCTCCCCTCCATCTCTCGCTCTGCTCCCTGGCATGCCTGAGTGAGAAAAACAAAAAAACCAGCCAGCTTATCTTCAAAGGCGGCGTGCGGTGGCTCGGCGGGCGCGCTGACTACAAATGCCCCACACATCCTTGCACTCACTCACTGGGAACGGGCCTCATCAACATTCCTGCCGCTGACAATCTCCAGTGAACGGCTTTCTTCCATGCTCCGGCTCGATTCCGCCTCCAATAACTGTATATGTTACTGAGAAATGCAGGCCAGGCGGCTAGGGAGAGAAGAAACAGCGGTGTAGGCGGCAGAGCGCTTGCCGTGTCACCGGAAAGTGGTTTGATCCCAATATTTAGTACTGTAGTTCAAATTTTTTTATATTTCAAATGTCGGCGAATGGAAACAATAAACAAGTTTGATAAATAGATTGGATGAAGCAGATTTCGCTCCAATTTAGTCTCGGAGGACTTTAAAAATTGCTCCAACAGATCAGAGAATGCAGCAACCGCTCTCACAGATGCAACACACACACGCAACACACAACACACAGGCTAAAACACTCTCTGACCATACACCTCTCTCTGCGCTGAAGGCGTCACACCTCGACATGCTTATTCAACGCCTTTTTGGAGCAGAATTCTAAATTGCAGCAAGACTGGGGAGAAATCATAACTTGCCACATTTGTAACCCTGATCTTTTTTGGTGTTGCAGCGGTTGGAGCTTGGAGTTTCCATGTTCTACCCATGTCTGTGTAGGTTGCCTCCGGGTGTTGCTGTTTCCCCTAC